AAACCTTAAACGAAATGTGTTAAGCGTTGCTGAGATCCTCTGGTGTCTCTCTGTTGCCAATGCGACGATTTTCAAAGATGGTTTCCTTAACTACTTCGATATTGTGGTCATTAAGCGCGATAGATGGACGACTCGCATGAGCTATGTTGAAATCAACTGCTATGTGGTACCTTTTCGTTCAATCGGTTTTTGAAGATAGCTATTGGGTTAGCTTAGCCTCTATTTGATCTTCGATAATACATTTTTTATGATATTTACTCTCTTTGCTTATACGAAGTTTTTCTCCTCATGAATATAATTTTTAGAGAAACTGTCTCTATTCTGTCGGCTACCACTGTAAAGAAAACCAATATTTTCAACCACCCAAACTGTAGACTAGGAATGTGGCATTTGGTCAAGCAAAATACAAGCGCTTTCTTTTCTTTTTCCAATGCCCACATTTTCATGTCTCTTCTCCAAGTCATTTTTATCTTTGCTGCTCGGTTGCTCTTTGGTCTTTGGTCTATCAAGCTTATTTTATTATTTTTTTTTCATGTTCTGCATACAGCTCATATTTAAAAATTAAATTTAATAGTTTCTATGTAAATAGTGGCACGTTTCTGCATTAATTTTTCCAGTTTTCTTCTACTATCAGTATTCCTTAGTCTTACCTCCTTTTTGTCTGGTTAACCGAGCATTGCACTGGCATTTTTTTAATCAGTGTCTGCCCCATGTTTGTGCGCGGTTGACCGGTTTCTTTTTCTTGGTCTATACATCCGCACATACACTCGCACACATATAGATAACTGCATGGCAGCCCAGCACAGCTGCTCTTCTTGGCAACTTGCAACTGTGTGTGCATATAATAAATGGTGGCTCTCATTATGCTTAACTGATTTAAATTTACGATAATATTTATTTTTACCCGACCACGTAGTGCGCACTGGAAGGAAGGAAGATAGCTATAAAGAAAGAAGATTGGAGTGTTGTAAAGGAACAGCGCCAGCCTGAAGTTGGTTAGCGAATTATGTCAAGAGCCGGGTTGGGAGCCAGCAAAGACAACGAAGCCAAGGAAAGCTCGGTGCAGCTTTGTATAGGCTTTTCTACTCTAATTTGCTGCTTTGCAATTTGGCGCATTTTTAGCGCAGCTAACTATTTAGGACGCCTTACTGGAGAAGTGGTGGATGATGGTGCGCCTTAAAGTTTGCTTTTACGGCATTTAGAGTTTACTTTAATCTTGATTGTCGTACGGTTACTTTCTATATGCTATTCAGTTTTTTTTGGTACAAAAACTAAAGTAAAATATTGACTGTGCTACATAAAGCACGTTGATTAAATGCCTAAGAGCTGGAGATTCTTTGAACCAGTTGTTTATAAATTTGTTATAGTTCTTGATATTCATAATTATATTTGTTAGTGCGCGTTTATTATTTCAATAAAGTTTCTAAAACCATAAAGTGTGGTAGATTAGGTAATGCTCACTTTATATAATATACGTTTTTTTCTATGATAACCTTGAACCTCTAAGAAAGATTTTGGGAAAAATGTAGAGTCAAGTACTAAGTTAAATGGATTGCAATTACTTCCAGGTTTATCGCTAACAAATCATTATAAATTCTAATAAATACTTTCGCTTGGGACTAAAAATCCTGGTTACGGTGTAAGTAACCCATCGCCTCATGTTATCCCAGGACATATTTTCGTTTTGAGGGTAACTAAATTTTTATACCCCGAACAGCGCATTTTAGGTTTGCCACGGAGTTTGTAATGCCTAGCAGGAAGCATCGAAAACCATATAAAGTTGTCTCGTATATATAAATGATCAGTGTGAAGAGCTGAGTCTAGTCCCTTAGTTTTTGAGGTTTCGATCTGAAGTTTTGAACACACCTAATTTTCTCCCCCAAGAAACTATTTATTTGTCAGAACTGTCAGTAACGGACCACTATACATAGCATATAGCTGCCATAAAAATTGATTGCACAAAATCAGTTCTTTGTATGGAAAACTTTTTTATTTGCCAATATGTTTTCACGAAATTCAGCGAGTATTATTGTCCAAGCCAACATTGCAATCTCCGAACAACGTATTATGTCTAGATCGGGTAATTATATATAACGAACGATGAGAATCAAATTCTTATAGCGAAAACCTTTTTATTTGGCAAGATATTTTCACAAAATTTAGCATAGATTATTGTTCAAGACAACGGTACAATCTCTGAACAAATTGCCCCGATCGGAGCACTATAACATATAGCTGCCGTACAAGCTGACTGATCAAAATCAAGTCTAGTATGGAAACATGTATATTTGTGACGGTTATTATAGTTTCGGCCCGATCAAAGTTAACGTTTTTGTAGTTTATAGTTTTACTGGATATTATATATGCATATCTCAAACATATTTTCTAAACCCATTGCTTATACTAGAACGGAAGTAAAAGGGTTAAATCAAACTTTAGCTGATTTTATTAGGAACGTGAGTTCGAAACTAGCCTTATTCAACATTTTGTGGTATTATTAACAAGCAAAGTTTCTTCGTCACTAGAACAAAGGCTTCTTGACAATATTCGAAATTTTTCTGAAAAATGGAAATACTTTAAACATAGAACTAAGGTTTTCATAAGTAAACTTATATTCACATAGTGTACCCTGTATTAAAGATGGACTATTTTATTCAAAGATTTTAAAAAATTACGTATTAAACTTAGTCGCCGTCTTCTGGAAAAAACTCTAGGCAACTTGTCACTTGTTCCACATACTACCTACATATATACCTTACCCCTGCTCACCCAGCAAAGGCGGAACAGTTCAAAAGTGACACCAGTGGCCATGCTGCTGCAACTTTTGGCATATCGAATTCAAGATAAACTAAAATGTGCCCATCAATGACTTGCCCTTTGACCTTTTCGCTACTAAAACAGGCACTGCGTTGCCCTTTAGTTTTACCATATATTATTTTAATACTTACACATATATTCTGTAGAGCAGCTGTTGTAAATTAATGTTTGTTTGCCTTTGTCTTTTTTCCTTATGACTGTAATATTGGCAGATTTGTAATTTTCTTCTCAATTTTCTAGTAATTTTTTCGTTTAAGTTTTCACACAATTTTGCTATTATTTCTCTTGCCGCCTTTCGAAGTTGCCACATACACATAGTTTGCTATATATTTTGCAATTTTTTTTTGGATTTTTTTTTTTTTGGTCTTTCGCAAGCAGAGTAAATTTTGTTGCAAGCGCCTGTTTTTATACTCTCGCAACCTGTTGCTACAGAGTATAATAGTTTTGTTCACCTAACGGTTGTTTGTATCACCTAAAATTAATCGAGTTAGATATAAGGTTATATATATATAAATGATCAGGATGAAGAGACGAGTTGAAATCCGGGTGACTGTCTGTCCGTCCGTCCGTGCAAGCTCTAACTTGAGTAAAAATTGAGGTATCTTTATGAAACTTGGTAGACATGTTTCATGGTACCGTGAGACGGTTGGTATTGCAGATGGGCGTAATCGGACCACTGCCACGCCCACAAAACGCCATTAATCAAAAACAAATAACTTGCCATAACTAAGCTCCGCAATAAGATACAAGACTGTTATTTGGTACACAGGATCACATTAGGGAGGGGCATCTGCAGTTAAAATTTTTTTTAAAAAAGTGGGCGTGGTCCCGCCTCTAATAGGTTTAATGTGCATATCTCCTAAACCGCTAATGCTATAATAACAAAATTCACTGGAAGCAAATGTTTTTAGCACTTCTATTGACGTTGTGAAAATAGTTGAAATCGGGTGGCAACTCCGCCCACTCCCCATATAACGGTACTGTTAAAAACTACTAAAAGCACGATAAATCAAGCGCTAAAGACGCCAGAGACATTAAATTTTATCTCTGAGATGGTATAAGATGACTTTATAGGAACCGCGTTCAAAATTAGACAGTGGGCGTGGCACAGCCCACTTTTAGGTGAAAACCCATATCTTGAGATCTGCTTAACCGATTTCAACCAAATTCGGTGCGTAACGTTCTTTTCATGTTTCTATGTCATAGTGCGAAAATGGGCGAAATCGGATTACAACCACGCCTATTTTCCATATGACACCATTTTAAATACCACTTGATTCTTTCACTTTCCACTATGCAAATCAAGCAACAATGATTATATCGGCGTAAAACTTTGCGTGAATAATACGTTTAAAGTATGCCACCTTGTGACCAAAAATTTTCTAAATCGAACGAAAACTGTTCAAGCCCCTAAGTACTAAATATGTGGACCCCAGTACCTATAGTTGACTTTTTACCGTAAATATCAGTCAATCCACAAAGAAATCTCAAACGAGTATACCATTTGACTTTGCGAGAGTATAAAATGTTCGGTTACATCCGAACGTAGCCCTTCCTTACTTGTTGTTTTTGTTATTGCTCCCACACTTGACTCATCTCTCACTTTCATTGCTTAGTTAGCAGAGAAGAGCTCGAAAGCAAATAAGCCGCAATTGAGTTGCGTTTCTTGTATTTGTTCTTGTACATATGTATGTTTATGTGTGTATGTGGGTCTTCAGCGTTGTCTTGCCAAGGCTGCTAGCACAAGTTCAGTAATGGTAAAGTAGTAATAGCCAAGGCAAAGGCAAAAGCAAAGTTTATCCTTGTAATTTTGAGTTTCTTATTACAAGAACCAGCAGTTGTTTGTGTCTACGTTTGTTTGTTGTTTTTCTTATTTTTGTAACACATTCTCATGACCGGCTATTGGCCGGCTGGCTGGTCTCCGCAGGCGTATGACACTGTAGAGCTATATATACTTGCACACATATATGTATATATATATATATATATATGAGTATGTGCGTGTGTGTCAACGCTCGTGTTCTCACAAATTTACTTTTGCAGGTAGCGTAGTTATACACCCAAACATGTATTCATACTCCTAAATGCTTGGCTTTGTGTCTTTCTTTTGTGTAGCAAACTTTTACTTGATTACCAATTCCAATTTTTTTTTATTTAAGCACACATTTATCACAAATTTATCTGTGTGTATTCATGTATATATATATACATATATTTACCTCTGCCGCAATTCTTTCGAAAGATTAAGGAAAAATTAGGTGTCCCGCAGCAGAGATAGCGTGAAATTAATAGAACTTCCGTCCAAGTGGGTACTTTGCACCTACACAGCTATGCGCGCATACACACACACACACCCACACATAAAATTTCTTGTCGCACGTGGGCGCTTCACAGTTATTCCATTTCATTAATTTGTCTCAAAGCTAAGTATGCTGTGGACATTTTTTCACACAATTTGAATTCGATCTGCGAATATGTGTGTTGCCAAATTGTTGTTGTTGTTGTTTTCTCATCTTAGCACCAATGCGATGTTGCTGTTGCTGATGTGCGACTGACATTTTCCTTGCTTTCGCCAACACCTCTGCAAAGCAAACAAGTGGTTTATACTTTTAGCTTCTGTATTAGTCCTCGGGGTAATGTTGATTTCTATGAAATGCTGGCCGTAACAGTGGAAAATATATGAAATAATTTAGTCTTTAAAGAAATATCATTTCTTGCTACTAAGTAAAGTTTGAATCAAATGCTTTTGCTTTAATTGTTGCGATTTGCTTACTCGTAGGAAAAATACCGGTGTTTGAAAAGTGCTGTATAGCTACTTTGGCCGATTATATGCTTCGCCCCAGATCTTTTGAGACTTATGTATATTTTCTCTTAATATCTAAAATCAAGTCGAGGGAGCAATTACTTCAAAAGCTAAAAGATAAAACCCCATTTCTGGCATTGATTGATCGATTTGTATAAAGATCTTAGTTCCGTTTATTATGGAGGTACAATAGTGAAATTGTAAGAAACGGTTTAAGCAGCTTTCTCCAACATATCCTTCAGATGTAAAAATCTAAGACCATTTCCACTTTTGCAAGATTAATTCTGAGAAATATGTTATATTCTCACAATAGAAGACAAGTACCTGTAAAAAGCAACGTGAAAAGTAAATACGAAAATATGAGTGGATAAGAAGATGAAAGGCAAGGATATCTCGAAAAAGTGCTAAACATATCTTAAGTGGGACAAAGGTGATCTAAATTAATTGCAGAAACAATAATCCCAGCCAAATTTCGTCAAGATATCTCGTCAAATATAAAATTTTTTCATACATGGACTTGATTTTGACCGATCGTTTGTTTTGTGGCTATAAGCTATAATGATCCGATATCGGCCGTTCAAACTTCTTGAGGAGAAAAGCACGTGTACAAAATTTCAGTTCGATATCTCAAAACCTGGGGGACTAGTTTGCGTAAATACATTTAGACAAACAGACAGACGAACATATACATCTCGAAAACCTGAAAATTTTGAGGATTTCGAAAGATGTAACTCTAAACTTAGTTAAGTTTGTTGTTGCTTATAGTTCTGAAAGACTTAGAAGAAGAGGTTTTCTTTTCCTGCTAAACAAATGAAAAAGAGAACTAAAAGTATTGGTATTATAATTATACCCTGAACAGGGTATATTAAGTTTGCCACGAAGTTTCTAACACCCAGAAGGAAACGTCGGAGACCCTATAAAATATATATATAAATGATCAGCATGATGAGCTGAGTTGATTTAGCCATGTCCGAGCTATCATATAAACTGAACGATCAGAGTAAAGTGCCTGCATGGAAAAATTTTTTATTTTTTTATTGCCGATTCATTAAATTAGATCTGAATCCAGTCAGTCCTTTGTATCTGTGAAGGGTATTATAGCTTCGGTGCAACCGAAGTTAACGTTTTTTCTTGTTTTGAATCATTTTTTGTATAAATTGGTTGGGCTTTTTGAAATAAAACATGTAACTATATTTCTCTGCATCAATTTTTAATCGTTTCTGAATAAGTGGGCAAAGTCGTGCATGTGGCTGTGGCCATACATCTAACACTAAATATTTTATTTAGATTTGCAGATGAGTAAAAATATTGAATATTTATTAAGCTTTATTTAATTTCTCTCTCCAAGAATCTTTCAATAATAACCGCAGATAAAGTTATTTTCAATCATGGTAGTATTGAATGGTCAACATTTCAACTACAGATGGTATAAAATGAAATCTAATGGATGCAAGTGGAGGTGAAAGTAAAAATTGTTTTCGTGTTTTGTTGTTAACAAAAAAACAATAATTTCGTTTTGCCCGGTACCATATAGTTATAAGTTAAACTTGACTGCATCCATATGAAACAATACACAATAAATGAGAGAAAACTGTCTGTTTTTCCAGGAATAACCACTACAACTGCAGAATGCCGAAACTAATATTACAAGTACACACGTTTGGTATTCAATTTCAAAAACGAGTTTATTTTAACTAAATAGTGAGAGAATGAAAACAAAATAAAATCACTAAATGCTTTTAAAACAATTAAACTTAATAATACACGAAAGGCTTGAAGTCATAAAATAAAACTTATGAGCATTCAACAAAAACAAATCATAATAAAAAAAAGAACGGCCCACATGTGCCGATTACAAAGCCAAATGTATGTGGGTTACGTATACCCCCTCGTGTATGTTGAAAAAGTGAAAAATTCTTTTTTAATACTTACAGCAATTTGGCCAACTACAACAACAGCAAAAAGGTGAACAAAACATAAAAGTGTATAAATACTCGTGAAATATGTAGGCTGAGTGTATGTAGTGGTGTGTGTGTGTGTGGTTATGCTGAAGTGCATGTATAAAAGGTAATTATAAGCGACTAGTGCGCAAATACTTAAGTTCGACGAGTGGAGGGCGGAAGGGGCGTGCGTAGTTTATTGGCAGCTTGCTGTGAACTCGTTGTAAATCCGTTTACACATTAATGTGAGTATTATGGCATGTTTCACACGCTCTTGTGGCAATCGCAAGGGCTAGTAGTAGAGCTGTGACCAATATATTGGCATGTTGGCCAACGTTGAGTGAGTTTTATTGATGTCTGGTTGAGAAAAACATATATTTAGTGCTTGCTTACTTAAGGCAAATAATTGTAAGGCTATATTGAATGCTATTCGCATGTCAATGTCAGTTGAATTGAAGTAATGAGAGGTTGGTTTGACTTTCTTCTTAATAGGCTTAAGGTGGGTTTGTGGGATTGCTAAGTTTTTAATTTCCTGTTATTTTTCTCTCTTACTGCTTATATTTTCTGTGGGCTTTCGTTAGCAATAATGTAATAGGAGTATGGATTTTTACTTATTGGTTTCTGGGTTATAACCATCTATAGGTTTCGGCTTTATTAATGGTTTATTCACTGCTGTTTTGGGAGGTATTTAAATGCCTTTAATAATGGTAACTCAAAGCAGTCGTAATCGAAATAGTGCAGTGTGTTCATACTTAAAGTTTTGCGAAATTCCTGTAGCCTACAGAAGTTTTGTTCAAAGATTTTTAGTTCCCTATTTTTAATGATTAAAAGCACAACTTAATTATAAATTTAAGAATGGCAATTTTATGTATAACATTAACGATCTTTTGTATTTTCACGCGAGATTCGTAACTGTGTTCCGGTAAGGCTTATAGATTTATTTTCTCTTCTTTAGCCATTTTTCCTTCTAAAACTATTTTCGAATTATTTATGAAGCTACGCAATGAAATCTCGGTCTATTGGAAGTTTTGAAACACAATCTTTACCATATTTTGACTGGGTGCTAGTAATATAGCATCAAGTCTATTTAACAGGCCTTTGAGATATATAGCTTAGGCCTCTTTACCTCCACTATTCAATAGAAAAACTTTAAATAAAAAAATCTTGAAATTTAGAAAATATCGGAGATCCAGCTCCTTTCGCAAAGAGAGACTGACTGGCGAAAAATTATTTGATTCTGGTTCACAGTCGTTTGATGACAACTTACTTGCGTTTAGGCAAATGAGCTGCAGATTCCAATATCTAAGGCGTGAATATAAGATTTTTATTTGTTGAAAGATTTCACTTAATTTTTGAGAAAAATAAATGAAAACTAACTGGGTTCTTTGGATAATTCATCAGTTCAATTGAGTCTTTTCTAGTGTACGTAGACTTATTATAAGACATCTCAAATCTATGCCTGGTTTATTCTTTTCAATAAGCTCTCGCTGTGATTCTTAAGAATGTATTTAAATTACTTTTACTTCAGGCTAATGTCCAAAAAGTAAAGATTGATGCGCTAAAATGGAACGAATTTGTTAATTTGTGTTAATTTATCAAATCTATAGCAGTTATTTTTGACAGTTTAATATTCTTTATGCCGTTTAAATAACATTTAGAAAATTTTCAAACGTATACTCAACTTCAGTTATTAACCCAAATCTTTGTATTTCGTTTAATCTTTCATATTTGCTTTCATTTGACGTGCTTGCTTTGCTTTGTTTACTTATTCTTGTATTGTTCTTTTGACTTTTAATTTCATTTGTGTTTTTAGTTGTGGTACACTATTTCACAACCACATATATATATATATATATACAATTGTGAATGCATTTAATATTTCATTCATTGTTTAATATTTCTGTGCGGTTCTGTGTGCTTGCATACACTTCTTTGTAAAATTACATATTGCTCATGTGAATGGGTACGAGAGTGCAGGATGCGAAAAAATATGCTTGAATAAGTTTTCATTTTATAGAGGGGGGCAAAAAATATATTTTTGGTCATATTCTATTATTTTTATGAAGCAAAATTGAAATACGCATGTAAATATATAAGAGCACTGAAATGGCTTTTCATATATCTACAAACGTATGTGTATATATATCATGCTCTCAATTATTGTTGAAAAAAATTTCACTTACTCTGACAAAAGTGCGTTTACGTATCTATTTGCGAGCGTTTATTGTTTTGCGATTTTTTTAACGTTTTTCAAAGAGAGCGAAAGAGAAATATTTGTAATTAAAAATAAACTTTATTGAATTTTGATGAATAAAACTTGTATGTAAATTCGATTACAAATTAAATAAATTCAAATTTGATTTTTTAATAGGCTCTGTATAAGGAGCTGAAAGCATTATTTTTTTGGAGGGTGAGGCTCCGAAACTACATTTGATTCATTTACTAAATACATGACAATATTAAAAGCTTTCGGCAAATGAATATTTAATTGTGGCCCGTGGGTATCCTTTTTTCAGACTATTGAATATCGAAATGAAAAATCGAAAAGAGTTATTAGGAGGTAATATGAAATGAAATTCTAAATCAATGCTATGACTGAAAATATTCCAAATAAATACATTTTCGAATACGAATGTAATCTAAATATATGGGAAATGGAAAATAGTTCATATAAATCTACATCGCATAATTTTACAAATGACACTTGTGCGAACTATCTTCATTTTGACAGAGGCCAAGCGAAAACTGTCAAGCTGCAGATCAATAGTCTGAGAGAGCATGAGCATGAGAACAAGTAACTATAGCCGAAGGTTGTTTACAATTCTTGAGCTAATGATGAAAAAATCTTCTATTTAAACAGAGTATACAGTTTGAGCAAGCAAGTATGTACCTCGCAAGAACCCCATACTGGTTACTTTATATCAGTTCTAATCATAATAACTTCTCACTCCCTCTTTTTTAAAAGAAAGAAAAATTACAAAAAAAAAAAATCTCTTGAACACATGTCTGAGCCTCTACGAGCATTTTTGGTCTAAATTAAGAAAAGTAAGGTTAATTTGTAATGAAATGTATAACACGATCGGCAACAGGAATTTACAAGCGCAGAAAATTCCAAATGCTGGTAAAAAGTTTTTTGAAGTTTTGATTTCTGGAAGCCTTCATTGCAGGTTATTAATATTGAGTGTATTGTTCTAATGAAATATTTCATCAATACGGTGAGTCCAAAGTGCCAATTGTCGATTCATTATTCAGATCATTGCAAAAATTTTCTGATGCTAATGATCTTAGAACAATCGAAAAGAACCGCTATTTTCCCAATAGATGACTTTAGTTGACTGTATCTCGTATTGTATTACTGCGTTTGGGTTGCGCTATATAGCTTTA